GCAATGGAATGACAGTAGCACTGATATCGCCTCAGAGGATCTGCTTGACTCAATCGACACTTGGCTCTCTTCTTGCAGTATTGGCATTCTTGCTTATCACATTGCTAATTACGGTATTCGCAGTGTACAGGAGAGGCAGCAGGTATGCACTTTGGAGCCCTAGGTGAAAAGGCTTTAAATTTTCTAAAGTTTCTTGAAGAAAATGTGCAAAAGCTGAAATTTCAAAAATAAGAAGGAACTGGGCAAATTTGCAAAATTTACTTTAACTTCACCATTCTAATTATTTTAGAATCGATAGCCGAAAGGAGAATCAAGTTTTTTTTTTCAGGAAATTGTTTGAAGAATGAACGATTCATCTCCGCACTTCACTAATAACGAGCTTTTTTAAATGTCTGTTCATATTGTTCGCTTTACCAGTTGTTACTTATAATAATAACAGTAATAATAAACAGTTATATTTCGTGAAAGGAAAGGCACACTACCGAGCGAAATGATCCTTGTTTTGTCTCTAGTTGTGACACATACTGTCCAAAGCAAGTGTCTGGCTAATACCTGAACGATTCGAAGTCCTCACGTTCCAGCTAAATTTTGGCAGCAATTATATCGACGTTCTAGATGACTTTCGTTTTCGATGCGTTATTTTTCAAGAGAAACTTTTGCATCCATATTACTTTCATTTTGTGAGCACTGATCGCAGTACAAGTTATCTTTCCTGCGAAGCATGAATGGTTTAACTGTTCAAAACATCCTTCCAAACCAACTTGGTAATCATCGTCTTGGGCAAACTAGAAGCCTTGGAAATAAGTAATCGCCATATATCATACCTTTTCTTTACGTATCGGAAAGTTACGAAAAGCGTCTTATCAGTAGTTTGGATTTGCTTCCTTGATCAATCCTTCGGTAATTCCTTTAAGATAAAGTGGAGCGATGTCATAGATGCCCAGTGAAATAACATTTTCATCAAAACACGCTAATACTGAAATTTTCTGGTTGCTGCTGATATCATTCTTACCTTATCTAATTAACTACATTTTCATTAACATAAAAGTATTCGCCTGCTCTAAAACTTGCAAGCGAGAAATACAGAAGAGTATTTCCACGAAGTACCTAGCGAGCGAAGCCTGTCCCAAGAGCTCCGGAAGCCTTCATCACGCAGAAGAAAATAGCAAAGTTTTTGAGTTTTTCATTCCCACTAAGGTAATTTCATTATTTAGCCCAAAAAAGGAGGCTCGTATCATAATTTTCCAAATTTTTCAAAGATGCCACTTGAAAAAATCAAAAACAAGTTACTGCATGAAATGGTAAGGCAAAAATTCCTGCAAAATTCATCGCCAAAAAAACCCGGCGACATTTTTGAAATTTTCATCTGCGGTGAATCAGGTTTATGATTCAACTCAAGAAAAGAGAGCTAGCTTCATAATTTTTAAAGTTTTTCGAAGAAGCCAATTACAAAAATCCCGAATAAATTATCGTGTGGGATGATGAGGCAATAATGGCGTAGCCGATCCCAGAAACAAAACGTTGTAAACCTGTTTAACTGATTTGTGTATTTTGAAGAGAGCGAGCAGACGGAAGGCTTTTTAGGACTACAAAGTTACGGTTTAATTAGACGAAATAAGTAGAAAAATTTATTGACAGGAGTGGATTTCATTGTTTCCTTGGTTTGCCTTGTCCGGGAATTCTCGAACATCCGCTGCTCCATTCCTAGCAATGCTTCACGGGCCCCGCACCAAGCATTTGGACCCTGAAAATTCCACACGAAAAAATATATGAATACCGAAAGATTTTCCAGATTATTCAAGTTTTGTTTTGTGAGCGTAACAAATAGCAGTTATCCCCCTCGCTGTCTTCGTTCAAAGAATTAAATTTCAGGCAAGAATGCAGAATTTGCAAAAAATAAAAAAATTTTTCCTGTAATACATAACTTCTGCTGATGGTTTTGGTCGATGGGGGAGTAAAAGTTTTTTGTCGAATAGTAGTTCAACTTCGCCGATGAGACAATCAGTCTCTCTCCGATTTGTTTATTCATTTCGATAGCAAAATGGTGCTAGCATATCCAGAGAAACAAACCGGTCATCAACATGCTTGTAAGCAATTCTCGAAAGAGGAAGTCACTGACCAACTTGCGAGCGGGGATTGGTCTTGGCATTTGTTGACATTTAGGCTATTTTCCCTCCACCTTTTGTAGAAAGCATGAGCAAAAAGAGTTTTGTCTTTTTAACTTGATATAACTTTTAACATTAATCTTCCATGCACTACTTCCTCAGCACCGTTCCCCCCGAAGAATTCAGGTTCGTTGAAAAGATAAAATGTTGTAATTGTTGCACCATGATGAAAAAGTACACTATTTCACTGGCACAAAATGCTCGTTTTCTGGAGTACCCTAAACATCACCTATTCATGCGTGTTTTCCCGTTTTTCATTCGTCTTGTCGGCAGAACCAGTTTTAACAGTACGTTACATGGAATTTAAAAAACTTCAAATTGTTAACCACATAAACATATGAGTCGTCCGAAATGGTAAATTTCCCGGTGTTTTTTGTCACGCTGGCGCTCAACATTTCAATTTAAACTATACTGACATTTGAATTCTGTACTTTGCATGTTCATTTCTTTCGACTATCTAATGTGACAGTCTGTGGAACCTGCTCCTCAACCTGACAGAAATATTCATAGCTCCAGACTTAGAGTTTTTCAGCCGGAGAGATCAAAGCATGAGAGTTTGTTCTAAGGCATTACTTCTATACCCGTACCCTTACAAGCACAAGCATGGATGCATGTGCAAATTCCTGTACTAAGGCATATAAAAAAAATGCTAAACTGCGTTTTTTGGAAAAAAAGGCATGAACGAACTGTTAGCCTGTACTGATAGGGAGCCAATCCTTGAAAGAGAAGCGTGGATGCAAGGCGTGGATCAGTGAGCCAATATTTCAGCAAATTCGGCTTCACACCAATCAGTTTTGCCAGTTCATCCATATATTCCACGTAATGCACCTCAAATATGAAATCTTCAATTACTAAAAATGCCGTGTTTTAAAAGAGTAAGTAAAAATACAAGCTCACTTGAATAGTGTGACGTCGACGTTTCACGTACTGTTTTGCCATTTGCGCCTTCTTTTTCTCGATGTTTTTGAGCATTTTCTCGGAATCCGGCAATTTGCATTTTCCAGCAAGCACTTCACAGAACAGACGGCACTGCATTTCGGAAATGGGCATTATGGATCCCAAAGGCTGGATTAGGCCTATCACTGCTAGGCTATTCTGCAAGCAGAAAAGTGGTTACAGCAAAACTGCTTTGCTAACTTACATATTATTTCTATACTTACGCCAAATGCTCCTTGTCGTTTTATTCGCGTAGATTATTCGATCCCGCTCCACGACTTGTTGATCCATTTTAAAAACAGCATTGCGGATTCAGAAATTAGGAGGTCAAAAAGTCATTTTAAACTTCAACTTGGTGTTACAACTTCAACTTGGTGCAAGACCAATTTCGTATTTTTCGTCCCGAAATTTTTCTCTAGAAATTTTTTGGAGTTAAAAAAAATAGAACTATTTGTTCACAGATGTTCATTACTAATGGTTTTTTTGCTCATTTGGACGAAGCAGGGGCTAACGGATAACTTGAAAATTGATTTTTCATTTTTTTTAGTGCTGTTGCTTCAGTACACTTAACAAATTACTTAAAATGCTCGAAGGTTTTTTGGTTTATGAGAATAATTCAGGATTTGAACCAGAGGTCAAAAACCGAGTGTGAGTTGTTTCTAGAACTGTGATTTCTCACTAGGTCACGCAGCATGCTCCTAAAGTTTCAGCTTCCTAGATTTGTGATCCTGAGATTCAGTTATCTAGACGGACTAAATAGAATGTCTCATCTCAGCAAGTTTTTGCTCGCACAGTTGCGGGAACACATAATAACTCAGGCTGGAACGCACCAGCCCGGCTGGTGCGAATATGCGTTTTTGCACTTTTCGTGCTGTAGCAATATCGCAAGGGATCGCAGTTGTTAACCCTGTAACATACTGGCCCTCGAAATTCGGGAAGTTAATTGTGCAGCTATATGGTACGTCAGTTGTAGATGCCGATTTTAGTGACCCGACAAATGAAAAGTTGCTGGTCCACAAAAAAAGCCACAGTAGAAGAGTTAAATTTGAAATCTTTTAGTCGCTTATGAGTAGGGAACATTCCCTTAAAATTACCGCCTTCAGCTTTCCCCGTTCCCGAGTTAGCAGTTTTCCCATCAAAATTTTAACGTGTCCGTACGTGAGTACCAAACTGTTTTAAGGAGCTGAATTTGAAATCTTTTGGTCATACATGAGTAGGGAACATTACCCTAAAACTGTGAAGCTTTCCAGCTTTTTTTGTTCCCAGATTAGTAACTTTCGCGCCAAAATTTCCACGTACCAGTAAGTGGGCCCCGGGCACTTCTAAAAGCCTGATTTTGGTCTATATGATTTTGGTCTACATTCCTCAAAAGTTTCAGCTTTCTAGCTTTTCCCATCTCCGGGTTAATAAATTTTTACTCCAAAATTTCCACTGACTCGCATGTGGGGTCGGGCGCTTACAAACACCTTATTTTGTTCGCATGTAGGTAGGGAACATTCCCGAAAAATTTCAGGCTCATAGCTTTTCCCGGGTTAGTAATTTTAGCGCCAAAATCTTTACGTGTCCGTACGTGAGCCCCGAGCGATCCTAAGGAGCTGAGTTTGAAAACTTTTGGTCGTACATGAGTAGGGAACATTCCTCCAAAGTTTC